CCCCCCGTCTCTCTCTCTCCCTCTTCTTTCACCCGCTGCCCCCGTCTCCCTCCCTCGCGCTATACTACTCTCACCCCGTGGAGCCGGTTCCCACAGTGCCGGCGCGATATGCAGGGGTGCTTGGTGATGGTGTGTTGGTTACAGCATGGTTGTTACACCATACGCTGCCGCCACCAGGAGGACTTCGCCGTGTGTGCAAACCATAGGGGACACGCCGCCGAGAGGGCACTCCAAAAGGGGCTGCTGGCGTTTGCGTTGCTCGTGAAACAGCCGCCGGCCGCCGACGACGCGCCTCCTTTTAGGGGCCTTGTCCTCTGCTATACACCTCTCTCGCTCTCTCCTTTTATCACCGCTTGCTATCAGCAGCTGCCGCCCCCCGGCTCTCCGGTCCACCCCGCCCATATCCTCCCCCCTGCATCCCTTTGCATGCCTCCAAACCTTTGGCAGTCTTGGAGATTGAGCTCCGCTCGCCGCTCGCCCCACCCTCCAGTACGCCACTACTACTACACCACTTCGCCCGCGCTTCTGCAGAAGAACGCCTTCGCTCGCATCCTCCCTTTGGTGTCTGTTTACTGGGCGGGGCGGGGTGGGGAGGGGCGGGGCTGCAGCGCCGAGGTGAGGCCTACAGCAGCAGCAGCAGCTCTACTCAGCACGATCATAAAATCGGATCTATGAGGCGCTTAGCCTCCCAGCCAGCGGCAGCCAGCCGCACCGGATGAATGGGCGGGGGAATACGGGAGGAGCACACGTGGGCACGTCGCGGTGGGCGCGGTCCTCCCCTCCTCCTCCTTCCCCTTCCCTCCCTCCCCCCTTCCCCTTCTCCCCTCCCGTCCTCCCTTTCCTCCCTTTCCTCCCTTCCTCCCTTTCCCCCCTTCCTCCCCTTTCCTCTCCGCCGCCGCATCCGAACTGCTCGACAGCCGCGCGCGCGCGTGCATTCCCGGACGCATCCGGCTGTCGGTACGTCTCTTCTCTTTGCCGCGACGCCGCCCGCCGCCGTCGCTGATGAAAAGAACAGCCAGCAACCTCTCCTCTCTCTAACTTCATGGTTATTTATTCGAGGAATGCAGGGGGGGAGGTGGCTCTTCAGTTTTTTATTCCATCACTAAAAATTTTCTGGAAAGTCAAATGTAAGCCCAGAAAAAAGGAACACTCTTCCCAAACTCTCCCCCGTCTCAGTTCGGGTTCCGGGCGATCCATGTAGGGAAATATAAGCGGCCGGAGGCGATGGCCATGCGTGTCACGTGACCGGCCCAATAACCGAGCGGTAATGGTCGCCCCGCCCCGCCTCGGCGATGTCGGTTTGCGTGATGCGTTAGCGTAACTTACGGCAATTGGGACGGTCCCTCGGGGTTGTGCTGCCGCGCCCGGCTGTCGCTCGCGACGTACTACACCATGAAAAAGAAATAAGTTTTTTCCGCTCACCCGCACATGCAGTGAGAGTTAAGGTCAAAATTTTAATTACATCGGGACGAAATACACTGGCTCATCAAAGAAACCCCCTTCTCTTTTGAGTGTGTTTAATCGGGTGGATCTAAAGTGCATCCTCTCTAGCTATAATATAATTTATACCATACTTAATTCCTTCAATAAATGGCCGTGTCGTTTATGCTGGTTTTTGCTTGACGGTGCTTGGCTGTCCCGAGGGTGAGCCTGCTCTACGCGATGGTCACCCACCCTGTGCCAGCCCGCGCCACAGCCCAGGTGCGTCCAGGTGCGTCGCTCACCTGGCCGGGCCTCGCGTGGCCAGCCATGCATGGGGCTGGAGGGCCGGGAGGGCCGCCGGGCCAGGCGCGCCAAGGCTCCGCTCGCGCTCAGCTGTTCGTGGTGGGGCGGGGCGGGGCCGGCGGGCACGCGGCGCGCGCTAGGTAGACAGCTGGCCAGACGAACCTATTGTGGTCTAGGATTGAGGGGAGGGGAGGGGAGCGTTAGCGCTGGCTGAGCTGCATGCGGGTCGAAGGGCTCCCGGCTGGCGCTTTGTGATCAAACACACACACAAAGAATATGGAATAGGAGAGGTGGAGGGTGTTGGCCTGGCCGTCATGTGGCCCAGCATATCAATCAGCTGGGCAGGACGAC